TTTGGTGCGCGGTCGGGGGGTCACACACTTGCAGTTTGGTTTTTAAGTGTGTGAATGGTTTCGGTGTTAGCGGCTTTTTGAGTATATCGGCGAGCATATCTTGTGACTGTATGTGTCGTATACTGATCGTTTTTGCTCTGGTCTGGTGAGTGAGGTAGTGATGCCGGAGGTCAATGAATTTTCTTCGTTTCGTGGGTCCGCTGTTCTTGGCTACGCGTATTGCGGATTGGTTGTCTATATGAAAGGGTGTGGCTTTCTGTGATAACATTCCGATGTCTTTGAGCAATCTTCTTATCCACGTTGTTTGTTGTGCTGCCGATGTTGTGGCAATATATTCTGCTTCGCATGTCGACAGTGTCGTGATGGATTGCTTGATTGAGCCCCAGCAGACAGGGGAGCCGTTGTATGTGTGGATCATGCCCGACATGGATTTACGGTCTGTGACGTCTGCGGCAAAGTCCGTATCACTGTATGTTTCGAGGAGGTTGGGGATACAGTGCGGTTGCATGCTATGTTTTCCTGCTGCAAATCTGATTCCATGCGTTTGGGTGTGTTTAAGATATCTGATGAGGCGCTTGAGTGCATTCCAGTGCCGTGTCGTTGGGTTTTTTGCCGCCACAGATAATCGGTTTGCGACAAAGTATATGTCTGGTCGCGTTGAGTCGGCAATGTATCGTATGTCACCAAGCAGCTGTTGGTATATTTTGGTGACATGGGGCATGGGTTCGTCTTCGGGAACCGGGCCATTCAGCTTTGTTTTGTCATTGTATGGCGTTGGTTTGCTGTTGCACTTGCTCATTTCTGCTTTGTTGACAACGTACTGTATCGCAGTTGGCTGTGATGCATGTATGGAGCCGTCATTCATGCGCTTGACGGTCCAGCCTAGGAGCTGGCTTGGTTCGCCTAGCTGTTTGATGTTATAGGCCGTGGCCAGGATCGCGGCAAACTCTTTCTGTAGTTTTTGTGATGTGCTTATGATTGTAAAATCATCCATGCTGATGGAGATTATTATTGTGTGGTTTTTGTCTTTTTTGTGGAAGAGGCACATGTCAGCTTCAGATTGGATGAACTTGTTCTTTTTGAGTAGTTTGAATACTGCGTTGAGGTAGGTGTGTCCCGCTCCCGGTGTGCCGTATATGTTCTTGTTGAGCTTGCCCACCTTGTGTTCATGAGTGTACGTGCCGTCAAACCTTGGGTGTTGGCGGACATACACTTGCTCGCTGCCTGAGTGTTCAAACTTTTCGTGCAGGTATGCGGCTTTTATGTCTATGTGGGCTATGTGCATGTTAAAGGCTGCTGCTATGGCGAATAGGAGTCGTACCGTGGTTTTGTCAGCCATGTACGTCGTGGTTTTTTCGGGGTCGAAGTGGACATTGGGGAGCATTTTGTCTCCTCTTTCTGAGCACCTTGCTTTCCGTTCTGTGATCTCCCCTTTGCCATTTCTCTTATAGCGGTACCCCATCGTTAGCAGGATGGGTTTGGCCGCTGTGGGAATTTTGTGGTGGGGGAGCCACGTGATGACCTTGTTTTGATCGACGTTTCTGAGCTCTGTGTTGTGAGCTTGCGCCCACTTTTTTGCATCCGGGTAATTTTTGGCTTGCCCGTGATGCATGGGGGCCGGGTTGGTGTTGGTTATTTTCGAAGGTGTTGGCTTGGGTGTGAACGCCTTGAATGCCGCGTAACTTTGGTTGTTGGGGTCGCGGTCTCCGTGGTAGATGTTGAAATCCACTGTTCTGACACGTCTGGTTGTGTTGTCCTCTGTGCTCATGACCATGATGTGTTTCTGGTCAGTTGCATACAGGTATCTTACCGTGAGGGCTCTTTTCTGCAGCTTGTGCATTTTTGTTTTGCCCATGATATTGGGGATATGGCCTAACTGCCCGAAGATGAGGTATTGTGGTACTTTCGGCTTGTATCCGAGCCAGACTGTGGATGGGATTTTTCCGATGCCGAGGTGGAGCGTGTTATTGTACTTGAATGCTGCATCCTTGATTGCATCTTCCCAGTGATCGGTGGGGAGTCCACTGTGGTGTAATGCAGCGCGTGCTGCGTTGAGTATAGTTCTATTGATGCGTTCGGCTATGCCGTTTTCCTGTGGTGAATACGGTACAGTGGTCGTGTGTTGTACACCATTTGTGCTGTATACTGTTTTTGTCATTGCCGATAGATAATCTTTCGCGTTATCTGTGTGTACTCTCCTTGATGTGTGGGGTTTTTGCTGTTGCATGTGCTTTAGGACGTTGTCCATTTGGTTTGCGGTTTCATCCCTTGTTTTGAGGAAGGTGAGTATGAGATACCGTGAGTTTGTGTCAATAATTGTCATGAAATATTTGTTTCCTTGCCGTGATGGGGTGGGGAAAGGGCCGCAGATGTCACTACTGAGTGCTTCCCCTGTGCCATAGTTATGATCTTTCCGTTTGTGTTGTGCTGGTTGGAGTTTAGCTGCTGCACAGCTTGTGCACGTGATTATAGGGGGGGTGTTGGCCAGTGAGGCTGGGAGGTTCGGTATTAGTTTCCTCCTAGCCATTTGTTGTATAGTGGATGGTTGCACATGATTGAATACCATGTGCCAATGGTGGTGTTCGTGCTGGGTGCGCGCGTTGACAGTGTCAGGGGGTGAAGGGGCAGGGTTGTGCTGCTTGTGCATGGGGGCAAATTTTTTATGCGCGTTCGGGGTTTGTGATCTTGGCTGAGATTTTGATTTGTGGGGAGGAGATCCCCGTCTTGTGGTGGTTACGCGTGTTTGCGGTGTCCTGCGAGCTGCTTTGCGTGGCTGCGGTATTGCTCGAACTGTGGTTGCTTGTGGTTGAGGATTGGCCACGTTGAGCGTGTATAAGCCTTTGCGAAATGCTGCTGTAGCTACTACTTTTGGTGGGCTGTGGCTCGTGTCGAGTACACGGGCTGTGTGGGGGTAGAATATCACAGCTCCCCATTGCTTGGCTATGTCATGGACTGACAATAGGTTGGTCTTGATATGTGGGTTGGCAATGGTGGGTAGCTTAAGCCATTTGTTGCTCGTCGTCTGGATCTGAAGAGTACCGTGGTGCGTCGCGGAGGGTGTGGTTGATGTTGCCGTGTTAGTGCGGATTTTCTGGTCAGGGGTTTCATGCCTTTTGTTGGTTTGCGGATGTGGGAGGGGTGGGCTCCCGAATCGAGTGCAAATTTCCTACCGTCCATGTCGTGGCAGTTTGGGTCTCCCTGCTCGTCGTACATGTGTTCTGCCTCTGTTGTCTCCTCGTGGAGGTTTGCTGTGTAACCGTGTGTTTGCTTCTTTTTCATGCCTCTCTCTTTGGTCCATTTTTGGTTTGGTGGCTGCTGTGTCATGACCTGGGGGTATGGTAGCATATACGGTGCGGGCGGTACTGGGTTCCAGTATGTTCGTTGCCATTTGGGTCGTGTGGCCCCTCTCCATCTAGTTGTTCGTCTGCGGGGGCGTCTCGATGCTTGGGGTTGGGTGCCGTGTGGCTGTTCAGGTTTTTGGCTGACTTTTTCCAAGCTCCTTGCTTGCACCGCTTTGAGGCGTTGCCTGATGTTGTGAATTGTGTTGGGCACAGTGTCCGTTTCGATCCACATATCTTGCAAGTGTTTGTATGTGGCATGTGATGCTAGGCCTTGGATGATGAAGTGTACTGTTACTTCTTCTCCAGTTGTGATGTTGGGGTATTGGGCTAGCTTCATTCTTGTTCGTATCACCCTGTGCTTCGTCATGTATTCATCAAGTGTGGTGCCGGGTGTAAGCTTTGTGTTAGTCGCTTCTTGTTTTAACAGTAGGTGAGCTGTAGTCGTCCTGTCAGTGAAGTGTTCGGTGATGACTTGTGTGATTTCAAGCGGGGAAGCGCCCAGTTCCATGTCCGCTGTTGCTGCGAAGTCTGCAGGCAGTGAGTTGTTGATGGCCATGCGGAGTATTGCACTCTGTCTCCTGTACTTGGCGTACATGGGGCTGTCCTGATCGGGTGTAGGGTAGGCATGGTTCAGCAGGTTTTCCATGTCATTGATCAGTGCCATGTCCGTTAGCGCTTGCTTCCATATGGGGAAGTTGTCCCCATTGGACTCGAGGGTCGGCAGTCTTCCATGGAACCGGGTGTCGTTGTGGTCTTCATCTGCCATGGTTGTGGGGTTGTTGCTATTGTCTGCGGGCGGGGCGGAGGAGGGCGGCTCTTGAGTGGTGATGTGGGTGTTGTGGGGTTTGCAGGGCGATATTCCAGGTTGCCAGGGTGGGTGGCTTGTGTTGGTGGCTTGTGTCGCTGCCTGGTTGATCGTCGGGGTTGTTGCACCTTTTTTTGTTGATCGATCTGCAGTGGTTTTTGCGTAGAGTCCATAACCTGTGGTGACGAGACGATGACTCTCATTTACTTCTCTCACTCTCACTCATTCTCTTAAGACTAGCGACCTAGCGCCGTCGTCTGTGCGGCGTTGTGAGCCGTGTATTACGTGTGCACGTGTGTGCATGTATGGTTATCATTACAGAAAAGAAATAACATTCGCACATTTGTATGTTACAATAACGCTTGGTCGGATAGACACGAAAAGGTTTGAAAGTAGTGCAAATGGAGGGCATTTATCCCAGCCCCCTTGAAGTTGGCTTGTTGGCACGAAATAGGAAACTTGCCTCGTTGGACGCCAAAACTTTTCATCCAAATACCTTGAAACTATTTCAAAATGTTTCTCTCAAAACCAATCCCGCAAATTTCCTTTTACAGTACCTGTATCCCTTTTGATAGGGCCCACTTGGCAGACCCCGAGGCTCTAACGCCAAACAGGCAGATCCCCCCTCCCCTCGTTTCTCGCCCCATACCGGCACACCAAACCACTTCCACTCTCCCATCGCGAACTCGCTCCCAATCGCGTGCCTGGCACCGCGCCTTCTTCCCCATGCTTCGATCCGCCGCGACGCGATCCGGCCTCGCCGGCGTGCGTCTACTCTCCTCCGCGTCCCCTACGCCGATGGGAGCCCCCGCCCCCAACTCCAGGCATCCTGCAACGCGCCACCCCACTTTTACTCACAACCGGAACGGGCTTCGTCATTTACAAGATCGTATCGGATAATGGTGTGTCGCCTCTTGCATTTCTGCGTGCCCACCGTGCTTGCAATCCTATTCCTTGCACCGAGTGCATTGCTCGCGGCGAGATGATCTTTCGATTGCCGATTCTTGCGGCAAGCTTGCCCCCACTAAAAATTTGAAGATCCATTTACCAACCACTCCCCCCACCCTCCCTTCCGTTCTTCGATCAATTTTGCGATGTAGAGTTCTGAGAGAGCGTGAAGAGAACCATTCCTGCCTCCAGCGACCTCCTTGCGCGCACCTGTCGATAAAATCTTGGTCGAGGGCGCGGGGGACGCGCGGAAGGCAGTTGGTGTCAGGTTGAAGTCCGGGGAGAAGGCCATGGCGAAGGAGGGCGTGATTAGCAACGTGTCCTCGTTGGACTTCCCCTCGCTTTTCTCGGACGAGGCGCGCGAGCCCAAGGCGGCCAAGTCGGCCGACACGCCCATGTGCCCGTCGTTCATGCACCTGCCCCTGGCCATCGAGCTGACTCCGGCGGTGCGCGCCAAGATCCCCTACGCGCTCGAGGCCAACTACGTGTCGGTCGAGGACTGGTCGCGCGGGATCGCGTCGCCAGACAACGTCGTGCTGGTGTCCGTGCCGACGGTGCTGGAGCCGGGGCGCGCGCCGGACGGCTTCGCCGTCGTGCACGCGTACACGCCCGCGACGGAGCCGTACGCGGCGTGGGCCGGGCTGCGGCCCGGCACCGCGGCGTACGACGCGAAGAAGGCCGAGCGCAGTGCCGTGCTGTGGCGCGCGGTCGCCAGGATCTTCGGCCAGGACGTGCGCGACCTGGCGCACGTCAAGCTCGTCGGTACGCCCCGCACGCATGAGCGGTTCCTCAACAGGAAGTTCGGCTCGTACGGGCCCATGGTCGACGCGGCGCAGTCGCCGCTCACGCTGCCGCTCCCGCAGAGTACCACGGCGATTCACGGCGTTTGGAGCGTGGGCGATAGCGCGTTTCCGGGTATCGGGGTCCCCGCGACGGCGGCATCAGCGTGGCTTGCGGCTAATGCGTTTGGGGATGTGAGGGAGCATGCGGCGATTTTGAAAAACATCGGCTTGTAGATTTTGGGCCCCGGCGCGTCCCATGCCGCCTTTGGAGAATAGAGCTGCGCTGCGGTCCAGGTGACAATACCCCAGCGTTCAACACCGCACCGCATTACCGGAAGGGACACTGTTCTGTGCTGAACTTGCTCTGAAGGTGGACCAGGTACGAAGTGTGGAAAAAATTTTTATGGTCCGTGACCCTGCCCCCCCCCCCCCCCTTCATCCCCCGCGCCCAGCAGTGCCGCGTGCGACAGTATTGAGGACAAAATGCAAGGCGACGTCCGCTCCTGTAGTCGGTGCGCGCAGCACGGACTGTTCAGAAGGGAGTGCCGATTCCGGTCACAGCTTCCTGTGATTTGGACACTAGAGCGGTGTGGCAGTACAATAGATCTGACCGTCAGTTGCCCGAATTCTAGAACATTTTGTACTTGTACAAGAATATGTAGTCTTTGCCTGGAAGACCTACTCTTCCTGTCGCACAGTAGCGCTGCCTGCAGTTTCACCATTTCTGGTGGAGGACTGTGTGGAACCCCGCGATACCAAATATCACTCAAGATGCACAGTGTGCTGTCGCCAATCATTTATTCACTCTCATCATCCAGTGTGGTGGTATTGTTTGTTGTTCGGTTATATGCAACGGACTGCCGGACAGAACTACAGCAGTCCGTTGAATTCCAGTCCCAGGCACAACTGATCAACGCCTCACGGCCAACACTTCCATGAATGCCCCTCTTTTTCGGACCTATCCGCCACTGGCAGTCCTGCCATTGGCGGTTCTGCCATGGCAACACCCTCATCAAACTCCTGCACTTTTTCCATGCCTTGGGGCACACTTGTGCCAATATGTCCGTCGTCATTCTCGTCCAGCCACTTCACCGCAGATATACGCCCGTCATCCACAAATAAATAAGGCCAGCTAGTCGGTTTCAGGTTGACTTTTTCAATGATCAGTAAGTTCACTATTGCCTGAGGGTTTCCCTTTAGGAACATGCCCATAAGCAAACAGACCAGGAGAATGACCCCCGCAATAATAGGTAGATACATAATCCGTAGCTTGGTGGAAGAGAACGAACCGACGATTACTCCACGTTTCTCAACAAACACTTGTCCTTCAAGGTTTTGCACCACACCCAACGTGCTGTTACCACCAACGAATCCTGTCGCTTTCGCAGCAGCAAGGCCCAGTTCCACCACATCAAGATTACTACACCCGCTGAACGACGGTGTTTTTTGATCCGAAAGAATGCAGTTCATCGCAGCGGCCCCGTCTAAAAATGCTTGCATGAACACATCGTTGACAATGTCGTCGAGCTTAATAGCTAGTTTCTCTTCAAATATGTGCGCAAACTGAATTGTGGACTTGACCGTATCCCCTGCTGCCGTATACTTGACGAGGAGGGTGCTACCCCCACGTACAAATTCATAGTCAACGTTTCCACTCAGAGGCTCCTGGTTCGTAGGTGTCACAGAAACGCACGACGAAAAGACACCTCCCAGTTGTTCTCTGCGCTTCTCGGGCGTTGAAATAAGGCAATTTCCAATTCGGACCCTCGTCAGGCCATCTTGTGCGTACTTGACGACTACACCGACATTGTCGGATTTCAATGGAGTCACTTCTTGGCTAAAAAAAAACAGTAGAGTGAGCTGAAATCCAATTACTAACCCGTGCAACAAGATCGCCTTGCATACGCGCCTCCTAGCGACTTGCCGGGAAGGTTTTGTACTGATATTCTTAGCCTTGTCGATGCTGATTTCGGGTTGCGATTTGAGCCACTTTATCCAGGTGGCGAGATTGAAGATTTCATTGTACGCGATCAAGTCAAAGTAGTTGCCGACTTGGAGTTCGTTTTCCTCTCCGCGATGACGAAGCATGGTGACGATGACCATATTGATGAGAGAGATGGTGATTAGCGTGAAGAGTGAAATGAAAGAGTTTTCCAAGGCCTCATTGCTGAAGAAGACCTCGGAAACGGGGAGCGAAAAGTTGACAGGTACAGTATTTTGCTCCATGGCGCTGTTTCAAGAGCGGTTCCGACAAATGATGAAAGCTCAAGCCTCGGATGTGACTGCTTGTAATAAAGAGACTGTGCAAGTGGACGATGGTCTGAGACTCTACATGATGTATTTGAACTATCTTGGGATGTGCCTACGATTTTGGTGTTGATGCAACGAACACGCCCTTGCCACCACGCGGATTAAAGATTTGAGATGGGTTTGTAGAAATCCACAAGCCCCCGGTGTAGGTGACTTGTGTTTCCAGACTGCAAATTTTTGAACGTGATGCAGATACTGTATTACGTACGGGTCAAAAAAAAAAGAGCTCTTTGAAGCCACCAGGCGAGGATGTAATGGAGGATCTGGAGATGTCTACGAGCAAAAGGATTTGTGCCTTGAGTTCGGTTGTGATCACAACGGTTGTGAACAACCGAACTCAAGGCACAAATCCTTTGTCACATGACAAAGAAGCGAACAGAACGTAAGGCATTCAACAGTAAAGCTATGTACTGTACTGTACTACTGTAGTCCAGAAGGAGGGTGTCGTCGGTGAAATGGGGGAGGCGGCTTTGGGGAGCGTGCCGTTTCATGGTGAGGGTCGGCCGAGTGTGGTCTTCTCCCCCCCTTTTTCCCCGCAGCGCCCGTCACCCTCTCTCTTTTATTTCTACGAAATTCCTTCCAGAAGCGTCCACGCGTCCGGTCCGGATTCCGCCGGGCCGTACGCGTGCGCTTCTCTAAAATTCAAATAAAATCTCAGACTACAGTATAAAATCTCCCTCTACAGTAAAAATGCAATTTTCCCTAAAAATATCCCACAGAGGGACAAACCTGTAAAAAGCAATGACGCGTGATGCTTTGCTGTCATACCAGCAATATGACAGCAATGACTTACCCACACCCACACTAAGGAAAGTCGGGCCAAAAGCTTTCGTGAGGACTCTGACTGACTACTGCCCAGATACCAGAAAGTCGGGCCAAAAAGCTTTCGTGAGGACTCTGACTGACTACTGCCCAGATACTGTACCAGAAAGTCGGGCTAAAAAGCTTTCGTGAGGACTCTTGACTAGTACAGTACAGTACTGTAGTCACTTCGTGAAAGTACAAAAGTACCTGAAATGTGACATTTCAGGTACTTTTGTCACATCCGTTTGTGAAATCTGACTATCTCTACCGAAGGTAGTCTAACTCTAGTCGTGCTGCAGAAATGTGCTTGCAGAAATGTGCTTGCAGAAATGTGCTTGCAGAAATGTGCTTGCGTAAACCCTCTATTTGCGTTAGAGACCTGCTACTGTACTAGAGCAAAATCCCCTGGCCTGTACCTGTTTTGAACCTAGGTAGCGTCGAGAATTCGGTTTCTGCCATCAGATTTAAACACGCGCGAACGTGTTTGTGCCCGCGCGGGTTTGGGCATAGAGAGCATTACATTATTTTCGCCGTTATGTACAATTACTGTACAGTACTACAGTAGGGTCGAATAACAGTTCCGGGGACCCTGAACTGTATCCCTGAGATAGCATTCGCTCAAACAAAAGGACACTAAATAAAGAAATCACGGGGATAACGCAGTCCTTTACATTGCTACAGTATTTCACAAAAGCATGTGTACTCTTTCACACACAAGATGGATGCAAATTCACGTCCTTCTTGATGAAAGAATACAGCACAAAACAGTCACAACTCCGCGTCTCTCAATGAATTTACCATCAAGAGCATGCCTCACCCTTATTTTCTGTTAACAGGAACAAATCCTCTCGCCATGCCCGATTCCATCACAACGAGATGTTCACACCCCCTGAATGTGAATTGTGCTGCTGTCAAAATTGACAACTGATGTACACGACATCAGCTAGCATGCCAAAGTGCAATGTCGGATTGCACCTCGTATGCTTGCCTTTCGTGGTTTTAGTTTGGGTATAAAGGGCCACACCGACTAGCGGTGTGAGGTAAGAGGGGGGCAAGGATTGTAAGAAGTTTGCCAAAGTGCTACAGCTCTGGGAGAGAAGTTCGACTGCACGAACCTCCCATTTAGCTGTTCTAAGGTCGGTCGTAGACCTTTTCATTTGGCATTAAACTAATCCTTTTCTTAATTTTACTGTGTTCTTCGGATCTCAGTCTACACTGAACATCCGTATACAGTACCCTCGCGATAACTGCAACACCTGGGGAGACCCCCCTCTGTTATAGTTACCGCGTGGTTTCAGTTAACAAGCCTTATGATAGGGCCTAGTGTCTAGGTGACAAATGACCTCATATGAGGTCACTTTTCAACTTATTTTTCTCGACTTGTGCTAGCTCAACAAGATGGAAAAAAGATACTCTCGACACGGCAGTTGACTTCTGCGTTGTGGAAGGGTGGAGTTTGGTGAGATCTGCACGTCTTCTCCAGCCATTTTTAAAATGCCCAAAAAGGAGCCTTTTTTGACCAACCTCAAAACGTTTTATGTTGATATCTTCGAAACCAAAACGCCTGTTTAAAAAGTCAACTCATCATTGATACTTCATTAGATTCTTAGTCTCTCTGTGCATTGACAACCGCCATCCCAATGTTTTGCATGATGTTATTGCCGAGCGCGTATACGTTAAAGAAATGGTGTCCAAACTGAATGTTTTAAAGTTTCGATTTAATTTATATATTTTTGCAAAAAAAAGCTGGCCTCATATGAGGTCAAATTGCTTGTCGTCTAGACACTAGCATCCATCGCATTAGATTCTAGGATCCAACACCTCAAAAGTTTATTTGAAAAACATGTATATATTTTGACTATCTATGGCCGTCGACCATCTGTCGCCCGACCGAGGACTGAATTTTTTGTAACCCCTTCAAAACAGCCCATATGACGCTCTGAAGGTATTTTTCAAACCTTGCAGTTATCAGATCTGAAACGGTCCTATTTTTTAGTAATTTTTGAATTACTCCGGAGATGGTTCCCTACTTGCCGTTTCATTTATCGGGTAGTTGCAGTTATCGGGGGTTGCAGTTATCGCGTGGGCACTGTATTGGAAACCCAAAGAGTGCAGTTCTT